GGCTATAATGTGAATTGTCAGTTGTTGCTAGGTACCCATGATAACGCGTTCTTTGGGCACGATTCATTGTCGGATTCAGTGATGATTGATGCGAGATAATCTGATGTCGTAGTAGCTATATTCAGAATTGTCGGGTCGCTTGCGGCTCGGTGAGATAATGTGATGCTGCTACGGCTATAATGTGAATCGTCCTTTCACCACTGAACTGATATATGACGCGTGCCAGTACCAGCCATTCTCCCGTGCCAGCGGCAACCGTGGCGAGATAATCTGATGCCGTAGTAGCTATATTCGGAATTGTCGGGTCGCTTGCGGCCCAGTGAGATAAAGTGATCCTGTTACGGCTATACTGTGAATTGTCCGGTTGTTGCTGACCCGATGAGAAGGCGAGGGCACCATCCAACGCATGTATCGGCCGTATGACCCACGCCCCTCGTTGGGAGCTTGGTGATGGTCGTCGTGCGGTGAAAGGCCTTATGAATTGACGGATGTTCTTCGTGCCTAGCGGGGCGTGTTTGAGTGCATCGGGTGTTGGTCGTTGCAATGCTGCGATTAATGCTTGCGTACTTGGGCACAGCGTACGTTCGGGTGCGTGAGTGGCATATGTTTTGTGCGTGCTCGTCGGTTCCCTGCTTGTGCAGCGACGACTTGTCACCCGAACTTAGGTCGGTTGTCCCAAACGGTTGTCCCTAACGGTTGTCCCGAACGGTTGTTGGTTGCGATGCGGGTTAAGTGGTGCCGAATACCCAAGGGTACGGCAAATGTCGGTTAATAGGTTGCGGTATCCGCCTTGTGCCAACCCCTTCGGGGGTGCAGCACGAGGTGGACGACGAAGCACATGTTGTGCGCCAACATTGTTGCAATAGCATGCAGTGTTGGCCCATGGGACGTTGCTCGATCTCTCGGGTACGGAAAGCTCTGTGGGCTAGGTTGTTCGACCCTCGGTTGTCCCAAAGTAAAGCGTTTTACGCTCGTCCCTCGTTCCGAATGACAGCCGCGCCCGTCTTGTGCGGGTCATTGACCTTGCTCATGCGGTGCCGGTGTTGGTGAGGAATGCTACCTGGTTGATCCTNTTGCGATGCGGGTTAAGTTGTGCCGAATACCCAAGGGTACGGCAAATGTCGGTTAATAGGTTGCGGTATCCGCCTTGTGCCAACCCCTCACTACAAGAAATCTGTCAAAAAGTGACAGATTTCTTGTGACGAAAAAAGAATCGTCACCGTATGTAACCTTATGGTGACGAATTTTAAAAATCGTCATTAAATCACTACATACGGCGACGGTTGCTACATGCGTCATCTTAGAATCAATTTTTCGTCACATAAACGTACTTTTCATGACAATACATTTCAATTCGTCACCGAAACATGTAAATTTGTCACATTTATATAAAACTGTTCTCTGTGACGAATGACTTCTCGTCACAGTTTGTCAGGCAACAATGACAAAGTATATTTTCGTCACCGTTAAATACAATTTTATGACGTTGTTTATTTTCATCACTAAATCACATTTTTAGTGACAAATTTTATTATGACGGATAATATTTAATCACAATTTGTAAGCTAATATGACAAAATATATTGTTTGTCGCAAATGAATATCCTTTTTATGACATCACTTATTTTTGTCGGTTTATTACATATTTTATGACGATTCTATCTGTGACAAATTATATTTTGTCACAATTGTGTTTGTAACAATGACAAATTTAAATTTCGCCACCAAAGATTATTATTTTATAACATTACTTAATTTCGTCACTGAATTCAAATAATTTATGACGCTTTTCTTACGGCAAATGGTATTTTGTCATAAAATTTGTTATGAAAAAATGATGAATTTTATTTTTGTCACCATAGAATATTCTATGCATGACACCGTTTACTTTCGTCCTTAAAACCACATAATATGTCCGGTCAAGTTGCTCCTCTGGCGAGTTCGAGTAGGCATGTGAGCTGTCGGCCTGAAGTCGGGGCCTTAGCTTCCTATTCTCTCACTAGTGGAGGTGGTCAATGGCGTCCGTGAGTGGTCGTGCTGCTGAAGTCGGCAGAGGTGGTGGGTATGGTGGTGGGCTTCTATCTCCTGAGTTTTCCGTGGCATGCAAATGAGGTTCCGATTGTTGATTTTGGTCGAGTTAGACCGGGAACCGGTCACATCATCGGTTCGATTTTCTGGAATGAATCGGTTGCTAGCGAACGAATTAAAAATCGATCAAATTCAGTCAAAATCACCTGATCGAACCGGTCTTATGTTTAAAGAATTAAATTTTAATATATTTAATAATATTATTTATATACATAAAAAAACATTTTTAACAATAATAAATATGTATAAGTTATTATTAATTAGCTTAAGTATTTGAATGATTTAAGTTAACATAATATTTAATTAACAAATTTTTGTATATATTTATTATATAAAATAATGACATTTATCATATAAAATAACATGTCATATGCCTTATTATCTTATTAATTAATGACCTAAAAGTTCCATTAAGAATCCAAAATATAGAAATTAGTAAGTGTGAAAATTCATCTTGTCAATCGGCAAAATCAGTTCCCGTAAAAATCACTGTCTCAGAGTCTCCTTTTCCCACTTCTTCTTCATCTTTCTTCTGTCAATTTCGAAGCAAGTAACCCCAAAATCAGTTTATCTTTTCAACCTAAATCGCAGACCCTTTCCAAAACGATCTAATCTCTCAATTTCAACCTAAGAACTGAATCAATTTCACGAGGGAATAGGAACTAAATCTTGCGCCATTGATGACGTATGCCACTTGGTGCTCGAAATCGTCGGCGAGGACGGGGACGGAGGCGGAGATCGGTTATCTGGAGGTCGACTAGTCGGTGGAGGGTGAGGTTGTGGGTGGTGTGAGCGGACGGCAGAGTCTGCAGCGTGGGGGAGCCGGTGGTGTGGTCGAGGGACAGCCACTTTTCGATGGAGTTCCGGTCGTCGGTCACGCCGATGCAGAGTCTCGGTAGAGACATCATCATGCCCAAGAGCTCGCCGGCTCAGATATCTGCAACTCTTTCCTGAACCAGATGCGGAGCCATGAGATGCTGGCCAAGTTCCTCCAAGCCGCAGATGGAGATGGTGATCTACGACATCGGCAACATTGGGGCTTCTTAGTGAACTGCCTTCTAAAGACTTCTTAGTCGATGAAAGATTCATTCGAGCCATTTGGATGCTGCTCGAGCTCGATGTCTTGATGAAGAAGAGATTTGACTGGATTGGGGGTATCCAGGTGTTCGCCCGATTATCTCATCGAGAACTGCCACGTTAGCAGAAATGGGAGTCGTGGGATCAGAGGATTGGTAAAGTGCCCATACGACTCTCGACCCTTGAGACACGTACTCGTACCTGTTGTTCATGCTCCGGGATGAAAAATCACAGGGAGCACCACCTGGTGCTATAGTTCACGTGCACGCCAATTGGGTCAACGTAGTCACCCAATAGAGGAAGCCACTGCTCCTGAGAATGCACTATGTCCAGCACATCTCAATTAGGTACATCGACCAGCTCAGGTACCAAGCAATGCAGATAGTGGCGGCAAAAAGTTGTCACGGGCTGAGCCCCCGCTTATAGTGGAGACAGTCGAGTACATGCTCGACGTGGAATACAACATGTTCAGCCTCAGGAGGAGCAAGGATGAGGCATGATAGGTTGAGTGTGGCTGGTTAGGATGAGGTATGATAGGTTGAGGCTTGTGGAGAGACTTAGGTGTAAGTATTAGGATAAGTTCATGTTGAGGTAACAATGATTAGTTGAGCATTGTAATTGCGGTTCTACTATGTATATGCATTATGTACTATGTCATTTGTTCTTTTTGGTTGTACAAGGAATATGGCATATTGGATTTTGCTTACAAGGTGCTTGTGTAAAATGGCTGAATGCTTTGATTTGTGTTATTTGTCTTGTTTTGACTGAAAGTTGCGCTGCATTTTTCTTCAACAATGCTAAATAAAGTTAAAATGGAAGATGATTTAACAGGTTTGAGTTGGAACTCTGTGGTGTTGTGGTGCATGGAGTATGTGATTCGAAGCCTAAATTCAATTTTCTGCTGTTTCCAAACCTGAGCTTTGCTTATCTCCTTGTCGGATATTTTTCCTATATATCTGCCTTGGCTTTATCACCATATTGGGTGTTCTATGCAATGGCTGCAATTGTTATATTGTCCTTCATAGGATTCTCCAAAACTCCAAAACAGAAACAGATCTAAGTGAGAGACTTATTACAGGAGCAGAAACCATTCTCACAGATATTGACATTGTTCATCGATAATATAATTTTTTTTTTCTTTCTTTTTTCCACGGCACTGCCAGCCTTGGCATATGTTCCTGCTCAGAACAAAACCTGGTTCACTTCTCGTAAAAAAGACAGACTGAACAGTTTAGACTTTGACAAGTGTTTGACCGAGCATAAGCATTCAAACCAGCATTAGGCTAAAACAACAGAATATTCTTTGGTGCCTGCCTATGACGTTTATCCTGAAACAGAACCGAACCCTAAGGCAGGTCCTTCTTTCAGCGGGACGAAAAAGGCTTGAGCTAATATTCTTTGGTGCCTGCCTATTTGATTTAGGCTAAAACAACAGAATGCATTACACTCAGACACACAGGCCCGGACCTATTTACTGACCGACCAGAAAACTCAGTAAATGGATTTGAAAACATCCGTACCCGGCAAGAAAACTCCAGCAGCTAACGAGCAAGAAAAGGTCAGCCCTTACAGAGAGTGAAGAATCATACATTCAGTTCGAATCAATATACGCAGCAAGAAAACGTGCACTGCTGCTTACCTTCTTTATTTTTTCCGAAACGGATAAATGATTCAATTAAACGAAACTCAAAAGCGTACAACGGCCCAAATGAATGCAAGCCAAACTCCCTACTACCGACCAAGCAGGAAATCAGGATACGGTAAACCAGAAAAGGCGTTTTTCCCATAAGAAAATAACCAAACACTAAGCAAGATATTTAAAGAAAAACAAAAACACCACCAAGCACTAAAATAGCGGCCCTACAAAACTAGCCAAAACATAAAGGCAAAAGCCAAAAAACAAACAAAAACTACAGATAAGAGAAAAAAACAAAATAGGACAAAAAAGAAACAACAAGATAGGACCAAAAAGAGCAAGAACAAGCCAACAACACCCAGCAAAAGCAAGACTTTCTCCTAACTTAGCTAAAGTCAACTGAAACTAACTTTGTGAAGTTGTGCTCCTTCAGATATTTGTTTAATGGAAAAAACAAAAACCATAAAAACATAAAAGCTGTAACCCATTAGATTCAAACAAGAACCATAAAACTATAAATGTTGAAACCCATCGAATTCGTAAATTCTAAATTCATTAACTTCTTCAGTCAGTGTAAACAAACCATTAACAAATTCAAAAAACAACCGTCAACGAACAAACAACTCTAAATCCCTTAAGAAAAACTAAAGACAAATGAAAAAAAAAAATCATCACCAAAAATACGGATCTCACTAGACCTTCTTGTGTGAATTTTAGGGGAACTGTCCGTCAGACGAGGGTGAGAACTCCACCGGCAGCTGTGGATCCGCCAAATCCCCTATCAACATTCCCACCACCTCCCATCATCGATCGCCTACGAGATAATATTTATTATAAATAAGGAGAATAGAAAAAAATCAACTAAAGCAAGAATACATTAGAAATCAAGTATATTTTTCACATACCAAAATAAAATGAGATTTACAGATAATCAAATGCCAAGGCCCCAATCATCATCGTCACTCCCATCATTAGAATTGTGGTTCTTCTGAGAATCTTCTTCACTGCTACAATAGTCAACCAAAGTATCATCCAACTCATCTTCGTTCTCGATGTCATCTAGGCGTACAACCTCACTAACTTCATGTGAGCTTTCTATTATTGTATCGGCAATATCTTCGGGATCTATGTCCTTCCTATTTAGCAACTCTATTTCATCAGTACTAATGGTAAGCACATCATTTACATCATTCGCCTGATATACTTCATCTTCCACACCCAAGATATCATCAACATCCATTTCTTCATCTTGCATCTCATCAACATCATAAACATGCCTATGTTGGAATGGTTGTACTACTCGCCAATCATTTCCTAATTTAGGATCTTTGGTGTAAAAAACTTGTCTTGCTTGATTTGCTAGTATGCAAGAATCATTCTCATACCACTTTCTACTAACTCTAACGCTCACAATATTTCCGTCCTTCTGTATCCCTGGTCTTTTTTTGCATCCAAGATCAAACCAATCACATTTGAAAATGGTAACATGCCTATCTTTCACATAATCAAGTTGAATTATCTCGCTCAAGACCCCATAAAAATCAATGAAATCTCCTCCATGGTTACCTTCAACTACAACCCCACTATTCTGAGTTTTACGCCTATTATCACGTTCCTTAGTTAGAAACCTTACTCCATTTACAATGCAGCCGGAATATTTTCTCACACATTTTTTAGGTGCACAGGCCAGGGCATACAAAGACTCATGTGATTTAGATGGTTCTTCATGATATAACAAGGTCATCTGAAAAATACAAATAAAATTTTTAAAAATATAATGAAGTTAACTAAAAAAATAAAGATATATAATTAAAAAGATAACTTTACATGTTTTTTGAACCATGCAGGAAATAACTCTTTATGGCTTTTATCTATATTTTCACAACCACCTAATAGAAGTTCCTCCTTGTGCTTCCTACAACAAGTAACAATATATGTGTTAGAAAATTATAAATACTTATAGGTTATATGTTGTCTTTTATGCGTAAGATATAATCACAGACTTACTCAAGATATGGTTCAACCTCTTCACAATTTTGAAAGACAAACCATTGAGTCATATTAAACTCCTCTTCTGACAATTCCACAAAGCTTGCTGCTCCAAAATGCCGACATTTTTGTGAGAAAATCGATAGGCTATCATCAAGCATGACATCAACATTTCTCTCCTCTCTATTAAATCTAGTTTCAATTCCACGCAAATACATAGAGCAAAAAGTCAAGCACTCTTTTGCTATGTACGCTTCTGCAACTGAACCTTCTGGATGAGCTTTATTGTGCACGGTTTGCTTCAAGTCACCTAAAAACCTGTAAAATTTTATAAAAATTATTTTACATTACAATCAATTAAAACATTATCCAAATTTATAAAGATAAGAGATACCATAGTTTAACTTATTACCTTTCAATGGGATACATCCATCTAAACTGAACGGGGCCACCGAGCAATGCCTCATTGGGTAAATGAATAGACAGATGAACCATGACGTCAAAGAAAGCAGGAGGGTATATCTTTTCAAGTTTACACAATATAATGACTATATCTTCTTTCATTTGCTCTAGTTCAGTTTTTTTCAGCTTCTGGCAGCACAAACGTTGAAAAAAATGACCCAACTCTGCTAATACGTCACACACTTCTTTATTTAATGACCCCCGAATTCCAGTGGGAATTATTCGTTGTAAGAGTACATGACAATCATGGCTTTTCAATCCAGATATCTTTTGATCACGCGAACTCACACAACGAGAGATATTTGATGCATACCCATCTGGAAATTTTAAGGACTTCAGAAACTCACAAAACTCTTGTTTTTCTTTTTTATTCATAACATAACATGCAGCAGGCATATTATATTTTCCGTCACTTCTCTTGGTTAAGTGCAACTCCTTCCGAATTTTCATATCTTCCAAGTCTTGTCTTGCCTTGACAGTGTCTTTCGTTTTTGAATCTAAATTCATCAAGGTTCCTAATATACTCTCACATATATTCTTCTCAATATGCATTACATCTAAGTTATGCCTTAACTTCAACTTACTCCAATAAGGCAAATCAAAAAGAATGCTGCGCTTTGTCCAGTTCAATTCCTCTGGCTTTCTTTTCCTCTTTTTGCTGCTATGCTTTCCAGCTGGATTCGTTTTTGGCATGCTCTCCAATTGCATTAATATGTCCTCTCCTGTTAAATCTCTGGGTGCTTCGCTATCTTCTCTCTTCCCATTGAATCTCCTACTTCTTCTCCAAGCATGATCTTTTGGTAAATAACGCCGGTGCCCCATGTAACATATCTTATTTCTCAATCTCGAAGAATAAGTGTTCTTATTACAAACTGGACAAGCCATATACCCTTTAGTACTCCACCCAGATAGATCACCATATGCTGGAAAGTCA